TCTGGTTTGTGTTATTAAATTCCCCATCTTCCAGGAAACTTGCAGTAGAAGATGTTCAAGACCACAGTCATGAAAAGACAACAGAAAGGAATGGTTGGGTGCTCTTTTCTACAAAAACTACTCTAATAATCTGAAACTGCATAATTGAAATCCCTCAAGTCAACAAGGACTCTTACAAGCAACATTTTGTTGTTGTTGTTCAGTCACTCAGTTGTGTCTGACTCTTTGAGACTCCATGGGCTGCAGCATGCCAGGCTTCCCTGCCCTTCACTATCTCCCAGAGTTTGCTCAAACTCATGTCCATTGAATCAGTGATGTCATCCAACCATCTCACCCTCTGTCATCCCCTTCACCTCCTGCCTTCAATCTTTCCCAGCATCAGGGTCTTTTCCAATGAGCTGGCTCTTCACATCAGGTGGCCAAAGTATTGGAGCTTCAGCTTCAGCATCGGTCCTTCCAATGAATATTCAGGGTTGATTTCCTTTGGGATTGATCTCTTTGATCTGCTTGCTGTCTCTCAAGGAGAGACCCCAGCACCACAGCTCAAAACCAAACATTCATCAGGGTGTTTTTGTGATAAATGTTGACTAGATAGTGAGCTATGTAGGAGTCCTCTTTCAGTACATTGATAACTGAGTGCCTTTTGGTCATTTTTTACTTAAAAGTCCCCTTGAGTCAAGTTGGGGGAGTGATAAAAAGTTAAGCAAAAAGAAAAATAATTAAAGCTAAAGAGAAAAAAGAGAGAGAGAGAGAGATCATTTAAACATGTTTAGAGATAAAACTACCTATCCTTTTAATGGGTTGCTAACCACCATTAGCTGTTCATGTGTATTCATCTGCTCACTTCTTAAAATACTGGGAGATTGTTCCCAAAGTTGAACTAGGTTTTCCCCTTTCCCCAAGACATCTTTTGCCAAATGGAAAAACAGGTGAATGAGTTAAGGAATGAAATGGAGGGAGAAAATGAAAGAGCCAACAGCTTTCAGGATCTGCTATATTAATCTACCTGATATCAGGTAGGCCTGGACTCTGGGTACAAGTCAATGATAATGTGATAAATTAACTCAAACACTAAAGTATGGTCATTTTACTTTAAAGAAAAAAGAAAAATATGAAAATTCTCTCTTTACTCAACTTCAGCCCTATACAGCTTAAATTCCATTGATTTTGGGTTATTTTACAGTTTCACTTCCTTTTTGTCATTTATTTGATTTCATTAGAAACAGACTACTTACTTTCCACTTCTGTTACTCCTAATTTAGGCTACAAATGGGCTGGAACTGAGGGAAACTGCAGATGGGGGTAAATCACAATTGCTGTTGTTTGAAACTACAGACCCTTGACCCTTTTGAGGAGATATTTTATCGAATTTTAATTTTAAAGTATAGTTTTAAAAAATTGACATTGCTAAGACTAAAACACAAATCAAAGCCTTCTATGTTGAGAAAATGTATAAAAAAGTGTGAAAGAGTTATTTATTATTTATCTCACTTTCATTTAAAAATCCCTAATATAAATTTTTAGTAGAACTATAACCAGAAGTAACTTCTGAATGAGCAAGGAAAGAGGTGACCATGGCTAGTAGAACTTGTATGTTAAATGAAGTGTAAGTAGTTTAGAGAATGGACTTTAAAATCCAAGAGACCTTTAAAGGCTTTGTGACTGACTTTCTGGTGAAAAGACACTGGGAAAGCTAAATAACTTCTCTAAAGTCTTGGGCTCCTTGCCTATAAAATAAGGATAAAAATGCATCTTATTTTACATGGTTGTGATGAAAATTAAATGATATGATGCATTAAAGTCCTTAGCACAGTATGCAAAGTAACTACTCAATAAACAATAGATATGATAGGATGGTATATGACATATGAAACTTCTTTGAAAACTGGCCCAAAATTAACCAGAATTTTGAGTTAACTAGAGTATCTTTTTCTTGGTCATTTGAGAGTGTAGAAAATCTTAATAACAAATTAATAATTTGGGGGATAAAGTGCTAAAAATAACAACTTGCACATTTTACTTGCTCTAAGGAACCATCATCTTTTTTGATTTCTCACTATTATTATTCATTAGGGGCATTTTTGCAAAACTTGATTGTTTTAGAACCAGTTTGGTTGCTGACAGAGGTGTAAATTCAGGAATGAAAATGATTTCATTTTAGTATTTGTAAAAAAAAAAATCTCAAACTGTTTAACATATAGAAATATAGAAAAAATTTTTCTAATAGTTAAATAGTTTTCCAATAATTGATACTGATATGTAGTCACATAGGTTAATGAAATACACATTAGAGAAAATGTATGTCTTCTAAAATTATATATTTTTAAAAGGTAAGGATGATTTAATGATGTGGCAAATTTTCAAAGACTTCTTTAATCCAAGCTATCTATATGATTTTTGAAAAATTCTGTTAGATCATAAACTAAGCTTATAGGTGAGAAATTCCTGTTGGAAATTCCTCAGTGTTGAAATGTTAATAATCCTCAGAAAAAACTTAACTCTCAAACTTCTAAATAACTATTACTGTATACATTTTCTCTCTGGTGGAAATCAGTATTTAACATATTGTAATTCTCCTAAAACCATCTGTGACCCCCGTAGGCTTGTTTTCCTCCACCTGCTGATAGTAATGATTGTTACTACATAGTTTGTATTCTGGTCATGGCAGAAAATCTTAAGTTTCCTAAGGAACACAGTGGAAGCAGCAGAAGAAAATATAATTTCTCTATTCCATTGGCTCAAAGTACACCATTTCACCTACAAATAAAAACAGGCATTTATTATTCTTAGAAAATCCAGGACTTTGTTTCCAGGTGGATATGTGTTCCAGTTCAAATTCTAACTAGCACTTACTTAATTGGGAGATTTCGGAGAGGTCCCATAAGCTCTCTGAAACTTGAAGACTTTCCCCATCTGTACAAAACAGGTAACAGTAGGTTGTAGCACAGAGTAGAGCTTATGTTAAATCCCTGATGCACAGGAATGCCCTCACTGTAACTCTCTTATGATCTCTCATGCCTATCTCAACTCCTATTTTCTAAATAGTTATATTTAAAAAATATGTTGCTGTTGCTCGTTAGTCGTTAAATTGTGTCTGAGTCTATTGCAACCCTATGGACTGTAACCTGCCAGGCTCCTCTGTTCATGGAATTTCCCAGACAAGAATACTGGAATAGGTTGCCATTTCCTTCTCCAGGGGATCTTCCCGACCCAGGGCTCGAACCCACATCTCTTTCATTGGCAGAAGGATTCTTTATAATTGAGTTACCAGGGAAGCCCCAAACAAATATGTCTGACTTCTTGCGACCCCATGGATTAGAGTCCTCCAGGCTCCTCTGTCCATGGGATTCTTCAGGCAAGAATACTAGAGAGGGTTGCCATGCACTACTTCAGGGGATCTTCCTGACCCAGGGATCAAACCCACATCTCCTGCATTGCAGGCATATTTTTTTACCTCTGAGCCACTGGAGGAACCCCATTAGAGATTAAAGGTCTTCAGTTTTACACCCATGAAAGATATCAAGAAAATTCAACAAAATTCTGATTTTCCCCATGCTTATTATTCTAATACTTAAAAATAAAACATTGGCTAGAAAGTGTTTTCCAAGTTTCTTTCTTTCTTTCTTTTTTTTTTTGGTGGGGGCAGGGAGAGCCTTTCCTTTGCTGGTAATCTAATATTTGTTTAAACTTATGTAATCAAACACTGCCCCCCAAATGTTACATAATTTGTTTTTAGAATTAAGGAGAGTAAATTAGAATTTTTGAATTTGATTTTGAATTCAAATTAGAATTAAGAGAGTAAAAACTATATAAGGAAGAGAGGAAGTTAACGCTTTTGGAACATGAACGGTGCTTATTAAATGATATGTTAGCTTCCTTTTGCCCTTCTTTCAGGGTTTTTAAATAGTATTAATTTACTCCTGTTTTGAAAATTGAAGATTTGGCTCATTTGAACCACTTCCCTCTCCTTTATCCCATTTTTGAGTTTATGAACTTTACTCTTCTATTATATACATTTATAGCATTAACTAATATTGATTCATCATTAGAATATTTTCATTCTTTTTTTTTTTTAATGAGGAAGAGCTATTTTAATTTTGATATTAAATATTCTTCCAAAAACATTATTTTACCCCACATTTTACTGAGTTATTAGAAATAACATTAGCATTAGAAAAGCTAGGAAGATAAATGCGGTTAAACTAACATACGAAAAAGAAAAATTATAATTAAGAATGTTACAAATTTAAATTAATACAAGATTATAATTTGAAAACTGTGCATCTCAAAACAAACTCCATTCACTGAATTACTTTCAAAACAGCATTTTGTGACTCTTACACACTGGTTTTTTCAAGAACAAATCTCATTTAAAAATATTTTTATTTTAAAAAATAGGCCTGGGTTCAGTAGTAGATTTTTACTCCCAAGCTTTGATCACATTTCTTTGATTTGGGAAGAAAATGCCACTTTGATGGCATGAAATTCAAATTTTTAAAGTTTATTTTTTTAAAAACAAAAATCCCAGTACAGAATTTTAAAAATTATCACTGGGAAATATATTAATGTCATTAAATGCACAATATTAATTACTGGTAAGCTAATAATGGTATTCTGTTTCTTCCCTCATTCTCCCAAGGAAAACTTGAAATTTCAGCAGAATAATCTTCAAATATACATTACTAGCAAACTGAGAGCTTCTGTTTACATATGTTTTGTATTTTGCTATTTCTAACTTTATTCTAAAACTCAATTTTACCCCCAAACCATAATTACCACATTAACTCTGTAATGCACAGTTGTTTGCAACTCAGCAAAGCAGTAGTAAACCATCAGGTTCTATTCATCCAGTGCTTAGAAAAACAGAATTGATCACATCCATTTAAAAACAAATCTCATGGTATTTCCCAATGTATAGTTTCAATCTAAGTTCTGACAATGAAATATATGGATATATATCTATATATCTCATCTTGATCTTCAAAGGAGGCAAAGGGCGTTCACAGCTTAGCTTTGCCAGGCTGAAGCTGAAGATTTTGTAACTTCATAGCCAGACCCATATTGCCGTTGATTTTCAATTTGCCTTGAAAGAAGGCCGTCTGAGGATTCATTTTACCAGTCATCAAAGCCAGTAAGTCCGAGTCAGCCATTGTGATTGTGCAGTCAGCCTTCTTATCTGAGTTAGGCAGCACTGATCCTTTGCCGTTCTTCACGTCCACCACCCAGGTGGCTTCTTTACCCCCAGGGCCATCCTTCACCTTGAAGGCAAAAATACCACCAATTTTCTTCACAAACTGCTCTCCTTCATCTTCAAGCTTCTTCTCAATCTCCTTAAAGACAAGATTTGCCTTAAATCCATCAACAGCAGAGCTGGTTGGAGCAGCCTCAATTTGATGAGTTCTAAAAGAACTGGCAGCTTCAGGAAAGCCCATCTTGTACAGCGTGACAACGGCAGCTCCTCCCTATTTTCATTCTTAATTCTCAAAACAACTGTAGTTGACATCTATATTACTTTTATCTCATTAATAAGGAATTAAGATTCAAAGGTTAAGTAGCTACTAAGTGGTAGAATTTGGAATTGAACATTTACAAGATAGAGCAATGATAAAAGAAAAAAATTATGTTCATAAGTGAGTGAATACATTGTCAGAATGTATAGGAAAAAACTGACACCTTCCTTGCTGTAAGGAAACTATTGTTTCTTCCTAGTACAGTGTGCTGCTTTCAATTCTCAAAGGTTGTTGGACAGACAGGTCTGCAAGAGAGCCAAAGTAACTGTAACATTTTTTTGAAATTTGGTGGCTGCAGTGACTAGAACAACTAACAAAAGTAAGTTACTTTTGTATTAGTAAGATATTTTTCAAATTGTATTAATTAATAGTTGCCTTTTATTTTGCTTTACATTGATCTTTTTTTTTTTTTTTTTGCAAAATCCACAGAATGGATTTGAGAACCAATAACTTAATAGGATAACTAGCCGAGCTTGAAATACTACTTCCAATATTGGTTTTTATTTTCCTTTCCTTCATACTAAATAAGTGGCTGCCACCTCATTTACTACTGCTTCCAAGAAAAATAAAAATAATAGTCATATTTTTTCTTGGTAAAATTAAGTTTTACATGAAATAGCAGCATATTATCTTAATATGTTCAAAGTCAGCAAGAATTTAATTGCATAATTGTTTCATTTTCTTAAATGAACACAATGTGTTATTACCTAATATCAAAAAATAGACATCCTTTCCTTCTAGTTTCAATAAACTTTTTTTGTTTTAATTTTTATTGGAGTATAGTTGATTTACCAGAGAAGGCAATGGCACCCCACTCCGGTGTCCTTGCCTGGAGAATCCCAGGGATAGGGGAGCCTGGTGGGCTGCTGTCTATGGGGTCGCACAGAGTCAGACACGACTGAAGTGACTAAGCAGCAGTAGCAGCAGCATAGTTGACTTACAGTGCTGTGTTAGCTTCAAGGGTACAGCAAAGTGAATCAGTAATATGTTTACATATACCCACCTTTTTTTTTTTTTAACATTCTTTCCCCATATAGGCCATTACAGAGTGTTAAGTAGAGTTTCCTGTGCTATACAGCAGGTTCTTATTAGTTATCTATTTTTTATACAAAAGTGTGTACACGTCCATCTCGATCTTCCAGCTTATCCATCCCTAGTAACCATAAGTTTGTTTTCTACATCCATGAGTCTACTTCTGTTTCATAAATAAATTCATTTGTACCACCTCTTTTTTTTTAATATTCCACAGTACCATGTGATATTTGTCTTTCTGGGGCTAACTTACTTCACTCAGTAAGGCAATCGTGAGGTCGTCCATGTTGCTGCAAATGGCATTATTTTGCTCTTTTTTATGGTTGAGTAACTACCACACAATTGCACTCATCTCACACGCTAGTAAAGTGATGCTTAAAATTCTCCAAGCCAGGCTGCAGCAATATGTGAACCATGAACTTCCAGATGTTCAAGCTGGTTTTAGAAAAGGCAGAGGAATCAGAGATCAAATTGTCAACATTCGCTGGATCATCGAAAAAGCAAGAAAGTTCCAGAAAAACATCTATTTCTGCTTTATTGACTATACCAAAGCCTTTGACTGTGTGGGTCACAATAAACTGTGGAAAATTTTGAAAGAAATAGGAATAGCAGACCACCTGACCAGCCTGTTGAGAAACCTGTATGCAGGTCAGCAAGAAACAGTTAGAACTGGACATGGAACAACAGACTGGTTCCCAATAGGAAAAGGAGTACATCAAGGCTGTATATTGTCACCCTGCTTATTGAACTTACATGTGGAGTACATCATGAGAAATGCTGGGCTGGAAGAAGCACAAGCTGGAATCAAGATTGCTGGGAGAAATATCAATAACCTCAGATATGCAGATGACACCACCCTTGTGGCAGAAAGTGAAGAACTAAAGAGCCTCTTGATGAAAGTGAAAGAAGAGAATGAAAAAGTTGGCTTAAAGCTCAACATTCAGAAAACTAAGATTATGGCATCACTTCATGGGAAATAGAGGGGGAAACAGTGGCTGACTTTATTTTTTGGGGCTCCAAAATCACTGCAGATGGTGATTCCAGCCATGAAATTAAAAGATGCTTACTCCTTGGAAGGAAAGTTATAACCAACCTAGACAGCATATAAAAAGCAGAGATATTACTTTGCCAACAAAGGTACATCTACTCAAGGCTATGGTTTTTCCAGTGGTCATGTATGGATGTGAGTTGGACTATAAAGAAAGCTGAGAGCCAAAGAATTGATGCTTTTGAACTGTGGTGTTGGAGAAGACTCTTGAGAGTCCCTTGGACTGAAAGGAGAGCCAACCAGTCCATCCTAAAGAAGATCAGTCCTGGGTATTCATTGGAAGGACTGATGCTGAAGCTGAAACTCCAACCCTTTGGCCACCTGATGCAAAGAGCTGACTCATTGGAAAAGACCCTGATTCTGGGAAAGATTGACGGCAGGAGAAGGGGACGACAGAGGATGAGATGGTTGGATGGCATCACCGACTCAATGGACATGGGTTTGGGTAGACTCTGGGAGTTGGTGATGGACCGGGAGGCCTGATGTGCTGCAATTCATGGGCTCGCAAAGAGTCGGACACGACTGAGTGATTGAACTGAACTGAATGTTCCATTGTATATACATACCAAATCTTCTCTACCAACTTCTTTGTTGATGGACATTTAGGAATCAACATGGTTCCTTCCATGTTCTGGCTGTTGTAAATAGTATTGCAATGAACATTGCAGTACATATATCTTCTCAAATTATGGTTTTCTCCAATTATATGCCCAGAGTGGGATTTCTAGGTCATATGGTCAGATATGCAGATGACACCACCCTTGTGGCAGAAAGTGAAGAGGAACTGAAAAACCTCTTGATAAAAGTGGAAGAGGAGAGTGAAAAAGTTGGCTTAAAGCTCAACATTCAGAAAACTTAGATCATGGCATCCAGTTCCATCACTTCATGGGAAATAGATGGGGAAACAGTGGAAACATTGACTGACTTTATTTTGGGGGGCTCCAAAATCACTGCAGATGGTGATTGGAACCATGAAATTAAAAGATGCTTACTCCTTGGAAGGAAAGTTATGACAAGTCTAGATAGCATATTAAAAAGCAGAGACATTACTTTGCCAACAAAGGTCCGTCTGCTCAAGGCTATGGTTTTTCCAGTGGTCATGTATGGATGTGAGAGTTGGACTGTGAAGAAAGCTGAGCACTGAAGAATTGATGCTTTTGAACTGTGGTGTTGGATAAGACTCTTGAGAGTCCTTTGGGCTGCAAGGAGATCCAACCAGTCCATCCTAAAGGATATCAGTCCTGGGTATTCATTGGAAGGACTGATGCTGAAGCTGAAACTCCAGTACTTTGGCCACCTGATGTGAAGAACTGACTCATTTGAAAAGACCCTGATGCTGGGAGGGATTGGGGGCAGGAGGAGAAGGGGACGACAGAGGATGAGATGGCTTGATGGCATCACCGACTCGATGGACATGAGTTTGGGTAAACTCTGAGAGTTGGTGATGGACAGGGAGGCCTGGCGTGCTGCGATTCATGGGGTCTCAAAGAGTCGGACACGACTGAGCGACTGAATTGAACTGACGGTAGTTCTTTCTTAGCTCAAGGAAACTCCACATGTTCTCCATAGTGTTTGTACCAGTTTACATTTCCACCAACAGTTTAGGAGGGTTCCCTTTCCTCCACACCGTCTCCAGCATTTGTAGATTTTAATTCAATGAACTTTGACAAAATTAATGGGAAGTAAAAGTTTCTGGTGCACCTAGTTAACTTTAGAGGATGTTTCCCCACCTGATTTAGGTGTGAATGAGCCATTGGCATTCTAAGAACTTCTTTATGGTCAAATCTGGGCTCATTGTTTCTCAAATATTATGCTATAATGACAAATACTCATACATTTAGGTAGGTTTGCATTGTTAACATTCATGTGTATGACTTTAGCAAGTTGACTCTATGTTATTTTGTAAGAAATAAAGGAATAATGACATCTTTTGGGCATGAAATTTTACAGTTTTGCATGCTGTAACTATATAAATATGGTTGTTAAGAATGAATGCAAGCATCCCCCCCTTTTTGAACAATACTCTAAATGTCTGTAGGGACTTCCCTGGTGGTCCAGTGGCTAAGATTCCAACCTCCACATGCAGGGACCTGGGTTTGATCCCAGACCTGGGTCTGACCAGAGAACTAGATACCACAGGCTGCAACTAAAGATTCCCTATGTTGCAACAAAAAGGATTCCACATGCTTCAAGCAGTACAGCCAATAAATATATTAATATTTTTTAAATGTCTATTTATATTGTTATGGTGAGTCCAAGGAAACTCAAGAACAAGTATAATACATACCAGCTGAAGACTCTGAGATCACCTTATATTTGGTAAGGAAACTAAGTTATTGGGTGGTGAGTAAGCAGATGCTCCAATGTTACTTAACTCTCACTACAGTTTCCCAAGGTAAGTATCAATACCCCTAGTTAACAGATAACAGAACTGAGACTCAAAGAGGTGTTAACCTGAAAGAAATGAGCTGTCAAGTATTTCTCCAGAAAACGTAGGTTTATTTGGGATCTGTTGAGAATTGCAATTCTGGGTCTGCAACCATGGTGAGCCATGTGCAATTTCCCCCACATGGCAAGGGAAGGAGAATGCTTTATACAGGAAAAAAGGAAGTTGGAAAGGCTATAGTAAACAATATGTCCATGGCTTTTCATTGGTTGAGTCCTTGCCAGGAAAAAAAAAAGGAGCCTTTCTTCCTCTTGAGGTCTGCTATCATCACAGTGTGGGAGAGCTCCCCATTTTGGTCTCCTAACTCTTTTTAACTGAAGTTTGCATTATTAATCTTTTACAGAGGATAAGGAACTTGCCTCAGTTTTTTTTTTTAACCACCTTATATTTCCTTCA